TCCTTCATATATCCTCAAGAAACATTTTGTAATATTATCAATGTTAAAAACTGTTTTTGCTGTTTAATATTGTGTGGAAAATGGAATTACCATTCAAAAGTTTGGGGTAGATATACTTTTATTCAGCAAAGATGCATTGAAAAGTGACAGTGAAGCCATTAACAGTATAGCATTACAAAAAAAGTGTAGGGAAAATAATTGGTTACTTTTTATTTGTTTGTTGCATCCCTTTTTTTCAATATGAGTTTCTGTTAAATTTGGTCTAGATTTGTTTTTAAAGATAAATCTTTGAATATCTTTATTTGTCATTGACCCATTTACAAATATTAATACATTAAAGTATGCTGAATTATGTAAAGCACTCATACTACATCTTAAACTGAAAGAAGCAGAAAATCAGCTTTTGTCGTCATAAACCCCGAACAGTTCACACAGACTAAAATCTTACAGTCAAATGACAGTTTCAACCAGGTAAGCGCTTTGGCACAGTATAACCTTAATCAGCCTTAGGAATGAATAAATTACAAAACCATTTGCCTCCATTAGCCTATGCAGATGAGACTGAGAGAGAAATGACACCTGACCTGCACTGGGGAAGCAGCTGCCATTGATGGAGGACAATCCAGCCTCATTTAGCTTCAAATTACCCCGGGAACTATAACACCCACAATCACCTTCAACATGGTTGATTCTGCTCCCACATTCAGCCAATCACAAAAGACCTTTAAATGCAGTATTTCGGATATGATTTCTGTCTGGTTGTTCTCTCAATAAGTGCAATTTTATGGTCAGTTGACTGGTAGTAATGGTATCGTTTAAGACTGATTAAGTTCATTAGTTTCTTCACTCAGGACACACAGTGAAGCGTAGGATATCTCCATCCATCCCCGTTCATCTTTTCCTGGTACATTGCTTATATCCTCTCCACTTGCCAACATCTGCCAGTAGTCATCATGATATGGATAACAATGGAAGCCCTTTTCAAAATCAAAATCTTTTGTTGCGGTTTGCCCTCACAGAGAGAAACGAAGCAAGCGTTATTAATTACTACAGCTGGGGCCCCAATGTTCCAGCCCTGAGAGAAAGAAAGAGGCGGATTTCAAAGGTTTAATACTTTAAAAGTTTAAGAAGGATTTCTTAGAACGTTCAGCTGCAGATACATTTGTGAACAATGCATCTAAAGAGCATATATTGGTCAATATACTAGTATGTCTGAACCATTTATATTTCTTTCCTAAAGGGCTTTGTTAATGTTCTTTAATATAACCTTAGTCATTTCTTCACGTATATTGCAGACCTGAGCTATACTGAATTAAGTTTCAAACCAAATCACATGGCACTTGAAAATTTCACATGCCACATTGTAGCTTTTCAGACATTTTTCCTAGATGTTTAAATGAACAAAAGGCCCCTTTCAACCTTCCTTTCATTTCCTTTATACACATGAGCAATTCCATAGTCTTATCTAGAGACAGTAAAATCACTTTTCCCCTCTCTATGCCCCCTTTTTTTTGGACTAAGCTGTCTTCCAAGGTAACCTTTTCAGTGAAATCCTCCGCCTCAATGACTTATTGTGTGAATTCAGCGAGGTATTAAACCGCATATTTGCTCATTTCAGCCCATTCTCCTATCCATCTTTTCACATGCATTTTTATGAGCGCCCTGCATGCTTACAATACAAGCCACTGTGTCTCAATTAAAAAATGGTTTGCGAGAAGACCTCAGGTAGCACATCAATATGTGGAAATGAGAATTCCCATATTTTCTGCATGTGGAATCCATAAGAATGGCAATCAAACAGCAAATTGATAAATGTGCCGTTGGAAAATTTGCAACAAGGCAATAGAACATTGTTCAGCATGTGCTTTACTTAACTGTAATGACAAGCTCACAGCCATTAAAAAGGGTGTAAAGTGCCTCCTAATCCATCCTGCCTGTAACTGCGTATTAACAAATGGGCACTAAAATGTTAATGTGCGGTTGGCTAGCAGCTGTGGGTTTGTTGATTAACATGTTGTGGTGAATCTTCCAGGACACTATGTGATGCTCTTTGAGGTCTGGAAGGCCTTGTGTTTAGATCCAGTGCTGCTATTCTGGACAGGCAGATCACTAATGCCTTTTAAAGCGATACAGTATTAATACCTAACAAAGCATTATATTACGTAACTTTTGTTACATAACAGTTAGTTCCGGTCACTGGGACGGTGAGCCAAAAGTGTCTATTACAGTCCATCAGCACTGGGACTTTTCACTCTTCTTTGTATCACTAGGCTTGTCTGTGTTTGCATGTTTAAAACAGAGTTTGTGTTATTAGTGGTGTTTTTTTTTTCAGTGCCTCTTTTTGCAGGTTCCATCCATACATCAGTAATGATTGACTCATTACTCAATTGAGTCACTTAACAACTCTGATTCATTCAGGAACTAAACAAGTACAGTCATTGAAATATCACTCAAGCAATTTGTACAACAATACTGATTCATCATGAAACAAGAGACTTGTCTTTACTGTATGAGTCATTGAATCATTCACTGTACTGATTTGTTCAACAAGACTGTTGCTCAGGGATTCAGAATAAACTTTGTACAAAGCTGAACATATAGTATGTCAATGCATATTTTCAAATGTATTGAACATTTGAATGTACACGAACATGTCAATCAACATGAATTCAGATTTGCCCCATTTGTTTTAAGACAAGTACCTATTGTACATCATTCAGAACACATTAGTCTACATTAAAAAAAAAAAAACTTTCATCAGTATGTAGTATCTTGATTTATTTAGTAACACGAGAATAAGAGGTATTGAACATTATTTACAACATTAATAATCCTGCCAGACTGAAAAGAAGGTCTACTAAGAGCCCATTTCTTCTTGTGTATATGATATTTTCCTACTAAAATCATAAGGTATTTTTAATCCTTTCAAAATAATATGGGTAAATACTGTACATTAATAAAACAAATGCAGATTTGGTCACATTTTCTTCAATAACAGCTTAAAAAATTTGCAGTTTACATCTGTGTGTGTGCGTGACAGCAGAGTGGTATGAATACCAACAAGTACCTGAGGCTTGTAAAGCTTGAATACAAATGTGTCTTTGATGAGCAACACCTTTAGTCCTCCCTAGAGTCGTCCTGTAAGTCCTCAAAATGCATCTTTTTCAAGTAGCCTTACTACACAGTAAACAAATTTATCAGGTCATAATCTCCAACTGAATTCTTGTTCCTTTCAATTTTGAGGCTCATAACAATGCTGGGTTTTCATTTTACTTGTATAGAAAAGTCTCTTCATGAATGGCTAAAAACATCAGGACTCTTTACACCTCATTTCCTGATCCATTATGTTTTTGTGAAACGCGAAAAACGAAAAGCCTTTCAGTTTCACTTCAAATATCTTAAAACCATGTAAATAGTGCAAAACAGACACATATTTTCTTTTAAACAAGCCTCAAGATTTAGGGCAAAACTAATCCGAAGAGGACAAATGAACTGTGTTTGAACCATATTGTGGATGCTACACTACGCAGTTGCCATGGTAACCTCATGTATTTGCCTCGCAGTAAAGCGCTTGATGTTGTATGTCCATCCAGCCTTGGGCCTGTGACTACAGATGTGTTTTCCTCACTTCCTCCCTCACTGTGGGAGGAGTTTCTCAAAGGCATCCTTTAAACATTGTCCGCTTTGTTCTGTTTCCACACCGTGCTCAGTTTAAGTGAATATCATAAATTTATCATCAATTTATTTTAACTTTATTTCTCACTTCATTAGTTTCTAGGGCACCGCACGGAGGGATGGGGGAGGGAAGATGTGTGCCTCCTTTGAGAGTAAAAATGCAATTTCACAGTCAACTTACACTGAGATACTTTACACAACAATGGAGGGAGAAAAAGACAGGAGGCCTACTTGAACACTGCAGTCTGTTATCAGACACTAGAGACAGCAGTCATGGAGGAATAAAATGCTTGCTGGAGAGTGCTAAATCTCTTTAAACACCGCCAGTTAAACCGCCAAAGAACGGATCTGTCCAAATGTGATAGGATCTGGCCCAACGTGATAGCTTACTGTCCTGTGTTAACTTCAAAAAACTGTTTGAACATCCTCCATTGCCCAAAATTGATCAAACCGCCGAGATAGCACATCATGTTTACAATGGAAACAAAAGAAAGAATCCGTTTTTGGAAGATAAGCAGAATTTTAATTCATAAATAAACATTTTAGCTGGCACACTGAGACACATTTACGCAGAGACTTGAACATACAGACAGCCATTTCACAGTGAATCAGATCACGCTAATGAAGAAATCAAAACATCATTTATTACAGCAGCTTCCACTCAGTCGTGCTGGAACGCTCTCTTACGTAGACATGCTGAGAAGGCAAAGACATGACAGAGGCTGACAGATTCTTTCCGCTTCATTACCCCCAGTCTTTCAAAGTGTAGCATAAGTCTACATCAAAATCAGCAACCGGCTAATCAAACAGAGGCTCAAGCGCTGCTGAAAAGACGAAAAATAGATTAATTTGGGCGATTATCCTTTTCTTGATTGAAATTAGTGGAGATTTGGCACACCTTAAAAAAAATTAAGTAAAATCTCTTTGTAACATCACCAAGCAACATGCTGGGTAATAATAGTAAATGTGATAAAAAGGATAGTTCATTTAAAATGAATATTCTGTCATCATTTACTCCCCCTCATGTCAAACTGTATGTTGTTTTATACGTATTTTATGTTGTTTTATAGTTGAATTGCATATATTTCATAGTTTTTACATAGTTATCAGATCCCAAAATCCTATAACATACAATGAGTATCTTGATTTCTGAACAAATGCTGAATCATGAGCAAATGACTCTTAAGAACTGATTCTTTTTAAAGAAACACTCAAAAACAGTCAACCTCATGAATTTACGGATTGAACCATTCCATCATTGAATAAACTTCTGACTTGCATACAAAACTGCAATTTGTCATTATTATCAGAGAAGGCTGTCTCAAAATATAAGCTATAGTCAAGTTATAGATGTGCACTACATATACAACAGTAGTGATGAAGTTCATAAAAGAAAGTGGTCCGTATAACTTGTGTACTATACTTAAAGTATTATTAAGATAGCTTGTTTTATAATATTAAGCTATTTAAGTCATCATTGCTCACAAATCAAATATTCAGGTTGGGCACCAATAGCATCAAATGTCATTGGTTCTTGCACGTAATGACATCAAACCTGTGCCAGAAGTGCGATTTGCGATTTGCATGAACAATTTGAGAGCAAATAATGATTTAAATCTCTATTTATTCTTCACAAAAATGTGTATGGTTTCACAGAATATAATGGATAAATCATATGGACTATTTTAATACTTTTAATAAAGTTTTATCTATGACATTATGTTGTCATTGTGAACTGCTGCTGGATGAAAAAGCTGCAGGACGATTGTCTAAGGAAGAAAGAAAGTCATACAGGTTTAGAACAACTTGAGGGTGTGTATATGATGCCAGAATTTTCATTTTGGGGTGAACTATCCCTTTAAAATTGGATTATTATCTTTCAGAAAAGCAGAGTACAACTGTCCATCTCTGAACAAACAATGAAATGTGGCTTGCTGGTTTCAGTCGTAGATCCACATAAGGCTCGTTTAAATCTTCATTGTGTTTGTCCACCCTGTGCAGATCAGAGTTATCAAAAATGATCAAAATTAATTTGAGTGCCAACACATTTTGTCCCAATGCAGAGCCACAGATTTGACTCAGAGTTTGCTGTTCTTCTGGAACTGCGTCACCAGTCCCAGCACCTGCTCCGAAGCCTTGATGACTTTATTCTGCAGGTAGGCGGCACTGTTAGTGCTGGTCTCTTGTAAAAAGTAGCGATAATTAACCATTATGCCGCAAGAGTTGGCGATCCCTCGCGGGCTTATGTCCGCTTGCCAGTTCAGCCTCCACATGGTGGCGCCGTTCTGAAGATGGAAGTTGGCCACAGGGTTTAGGGCGTAGCCCCGCCGTTTCTCTCCGTACAGATACCAGGTGCAGAGCCGCATTAGCGCAGGTTCCAGAGCGCGGACCAGGCGGTCGGAGCGGATCCACTCGCTGGTGCTGATGAGCCTGCGCAGGGCCTCCAGAGCTGGGGCACCGGGGGCGGCTCCCGTCACATCCTCCACCTCCCTCCACTCCTGCTCAGACAGGAGCTCTATGGCACGTCCCTCCTTCTTGTGCTGACCGAGAGCACCTTGTAGCCATAAGGAGAAGCCAGGGATGGGAGACAGACTGGAGAACTGGGCCATATGAGAAAATTCACTCTGCACAGAAAGGTAAACACAGACAGTTAACTCTCAAATGCATATCTATACCAACACACAAAAATTATATATATGTGACCCTGGACCACAAAACCAGTCTTAGGTTGCTGGGGTATATTTGTAGCAATAGCCAAAAATACATTGTATGGGTCAAAATTATGGATTTTTATTTTATGCTCCTAATATATTCTGTTTATTTAGAATGATTCTCTAAACGTTTTCAACCAGGGGCCCATCAAAGTACCGCAGCAGGGTCAAATTTTGCCAATATACTAGGATTCAATATATTTAAATATTTAAACTGTGGTTGAAATTTATAAACATAAGCAAAAATTGATGTATAAATCTCAATTTTGAAAAATTGACTCTTATGACTGGTTTTGTGGTCCAGGGTCACATATGTCATACAAGTTTTACTGTAAACTGAGTATTGTAACTAAATAGTTACAATACAGTAAAACTGAGTACAGTAATATATACAGTATAGCTCAACATGGATCCCAAAATATGTACCTTGAAATAACAGCAATAAAACACATCTTTCTGTTGAGTTGTGTTTGTGAGCAGCCTGTTAAAGGGGTCCTATTATGCTTTTTCACTTTTTCAACTTTAGTTAGTCTGTAATGTTGCTGTTTGAGCATAAAAGATATCTGCAAAGTTACAAAGCTCAAAGTCCACTTCAAAAGGAGATATTTTATTTAACAGAAATCACTTTTCAAAAACAAAGAACGACTCGTTTGGACTACAACGCATATTTTCCGGGATTTGTGATATCACAAATATCGACGAATGGGACGAGACCTGGTTGAGCTGCACTAGAGAAGGCAACAAGTGTTATCACTATGTCGGAGACACGCTAGCTTTCCCAAGGAA